TCAAGTTCTGCATCAGGCTCCCTCCATGGGGCCTGCTTCTCTCTCTCTGCCTGTGTCTCTGTGTCTCTCTCTGTGTGTCTCTCATGAATAAATAAATAAAATCTTAAAAAAAATTATAAGGAAAATACACTTACAAGACTATTCTGTGTTTATCAGGGGTGGGGGTAGAATCTGTGTCTAAATGCACCTGTGCAATTCAAACTTGTGTTGTTCGATGGTCAATTGTAGTCAAATTCATAGCAGCAAGAGTGAAATGGTGGTTAGTAGGGGCTGGGATTGAGGGGGGCAGGGTCACAGGAGATGTTGGTCAAGGTCTATAGTTTCACTTATAAGATAAGTTCTGAGGACCTAAGGTACAAACGGTGACCACACTTCACAAACTTGTATTGTACACTCGTGATTTGCTAAGATAGTCAATCTTATGGTCCCCATCCCCCACATACACACACAGGTAACCATGTGAGATGATGAATATATTAATTACTCTTGACTGTGGTAATCATTTCACAACATATATGTATATCAAATCATCATATCATATACCTTAAACACATACAGTTTTTATTTGTCAACTATGCCTCAATAAATCTGGGAAAAATTTAAATAATTATTAAAAAAAAAACAAGAAACCCATGTGCAGAATATGATTACTGGTAACATAAAATGCCAAAATACACCCAGGCCAGGTACCAAGTGTGGTCAAGGATGCGTGGCCTGAATTAGTGGCCTTCTTCTTGGATGGCACCTTCCCCAAGGCCCAAGGTCCATGACATGTTTAATCTTAGTGGCTGGCTAAAAATGACATGTTTAGTTGCCCTCTGCTTTGATCACAGTTACTAAATGATCCTAACCTGCTAGCACAGCCTCTTAGCTGCCACTTACAGAGGAACTAATTAGCAGAGGATGTTTCCCCATCTCCTCACTACTGAGCGCTGACTGAGGTAGGACAGGCACTGCCCCAGAGTTTGCAAAGCCAAGGCCTGTGTGCTGGGTTGATGAGGCCCAGCACAGCCCCACAGGCCCTGGGCATGAGGGGCTCCTCAGCTGCCTGGTGGCAAGGACCTCTGGTGCACAGCCTTCCCTGTCACTCCTAATGTACCAGCCCAGGGACATACCCGCCATCTTCCTGCTTCCCCGTGGCTTACCTAACTTTGCACGCCCTTGAAAAGGACAGACAGAAAAGTAGGGTAGAGAGTAGACTTAAAAAAACAAAGAAGAATTAAAGATCACAGGTCTTTCATCTGGTATTATTTCTGATTTCAAAAAGGTTCATTTCTATGTCAAAAGACTAATCAAAACTAGTGGAAATGACAGCTATTGGTTTATGGCACGGAGCTTACGAAAGACTTCAAAAATAGGTGTCTGTGCTAGTATGAGGTGGTGGATGGAAGCTTCTGGAGAAAGATAAGAGCCTGCCCACCCCTGCTCCATGTGGGCTGGCACATGGAAAGAGGCCCACCCACAGTTGGGTGCTCAGGCCTTGGCCGCAGCCCCACAATCCAACCAGACCTCTCTGCTTTTGTGCTCTACCAGATGGGGTTCTACTACTGAGCTTGTCTGCTTGTGTTTTAAGAGGGTTTCACTAAGAAATAAAAACTTTGAAAGCCACTGTCCCAACCAAGCATCCAGCTAGCAACTGCACATCCTGTGAGGGCCTTAATTCAGTCATTCATCCAGCAGGCACCCTCTGTGTCACCTGCGGTGTGTGGCACTGAGGCCGCCACAGGGAGGCCACCTGCTAGTGGGTGGACGGGCAGGCCACACAGCCACCCAGATGCGTAATTAGGATGGAGGTCCTCGTCAGCAGTGCTGGTCGGAAACAAAGCCAGGCTGATACTCAGAGGGAAGCTGCTGGCGGGTGCAGCCCCCGTGACAAGCTGCCGCAAGATGGGGAGCATGCTGGTGCGCACACGGCCTGAGGGCACGAGAGAGCAGCGCAGGAGGACAGTGCCTGGCAAGGCACGGGAAAGGACTACCTCCACCCCTGGCAGCTCTGGGCAGGGGGAGGGCATGCCCGCTGGGTGTTAGTGGGGGAGGACAGCACTTTAGGAGATGGGAGCATGAGGAGGTAGAGTGGACATGCCCCCCAGGGGACAGAGGGGCTCTGGGACCAGCACACTGGGGGAGCTGAGGGTTGGGCAGGTGAAGCTGTGCTCATGAAACAGCTGGGGTGGGGGCGTTGTGTGTGTGTGGCTCCTGCAGGGACCATCCCCGGGGCCGTGCTCCCCCTCACTCCTCCCTTCTCAACTTCAAAAGCCACATCTAGTAATGGCAGAAACCAGCCTAACCTTTTGGGGATGTAGGAGTTGAGTGGGAGGGGAGCCCTGGCAAAGCTGTCGGGTGCAGGGTAAAAAAAGGACAGAGATGAAATACGAGAGTGAGCTTTTATGACAGTAAAGCTGCACTGTTCCAAAACTCAGACTGGGATAGCTGGACGCCCCTCAGGTGCCCACTCTGGAGGCCCATGGCTGCCACCTCTGCATTCCTGGTTTTCAGCTGTGGGCATTCTCTGTGAGCAAGTGTTTGAGTACCTTCCCTCATGGCAGACTGCTTCATTTCTAAGCTTTTCTATAATGCTAGAATGCTCTTCCTTTCCTTGAGACAGAATCTGCCCCTGGACTTCACCCTGGGTGGCCCTCCACAGAAGTTGACCTCTGACCCTGCCTGCACAGGGGTCAGACGAGCCCCTCTCCTTGTGAGAAAGTGGAAAATACTCTTCAAGTTGACAAAGATCACAAAAACAGCTTTGTCCACTTCCTTCAAATAAAGCCACACAACTAGATGGTGAGAAGCTGCAAGAGAAAGGGATGCTACATGAAAGGGAAGACAAGTTACCAACCGTATTTCTGAGTGAGTGACTACTCGTCACCAAAGCCACGCCCGATGTCCATGTGGGGACCCCAATCCGTGAGCAGGAGGCTCCCCAGGCCCTGCCCTCCTCCTGCAGTGACTATGCTGTTGGGGCTCCCAGGCCCCTCGGGGAGCCTGACCCCCCCCCACCCCCGGCCAGCATGGCCCCTCAAACATCTGTGTGTGGAAACCCATTCAACAGGCTCCTGTCTGTCTGTGGCTGGGGAGGCGTCCCCGGGAAGCAGGGTCAGGGGCTGGGGGGCCTGGAGCTGGAGCTGGGGCACGATGGGGCGGGAAGCTGGGCACCATGAGCCTCAGCAGCCAGAGTTGCCTTCGCGGGCTCTGTGCACAGCCCCATCTCAGGGTCTGAACCCCAATCCCAGCCACTAACCTGGTGTCATGGTGGCCCCCTTCTGCCTCAAGGTGCTCATCTGTAAAGACGGCAAAATATAACACATACCTCCTAGAACTAGCATGCAAATTCAGTGAGAAACGTTTTCTTCTCAAAAATCAGAAGAGAAACCGAAGATGGGAAAATAATAAAAGCATAAAAAACCAAAACATATCTAAGCTGTCTAGAGCAGTTCCTGAGCTCCAGGGTGTGCTCATGAAACAGTGAGCCCCTGGCATGGAGGAGGGCCCGTGCACCCCAGGTCACAGGGGCAGGAGGCCCTGCCTCACAGTGGGGCGCCGCTCCCTCAGGAAGGACACAGGACCGTGGGGGGCCCCCCACACTTGGGGGGCTCGGCTTCGGACACACTGAGTAGACAAGATACCCAAGTTCCAGGGTCCCGCACTTGCTGCTGACAGAACCAAACTGTCTCAATGACTGACTTCATATTTACGATGAAACTGAACTCACATTTATAAATCTCCTGCAAAAATGATTGTCTTCTACCAGAAAAGACAAACTGGAACACAGTAGAAAGGGGAAGCATGAAGAGAATGTCATAAAAACCATTCACTTTTATTCTGGATTTGGTTACTGGTCCTATTTCTTTCCATTAAGGGAAATTGTTCCCACTCCCAGCTGAAGACTGATTAAATGGCATGATTATCACTGCACATAAAATAGGGAACGTAATTCCTTTTATTAAAATAAATCCACAAATACAACCTTCAGGCTCCGTGGCCTCAGGTATCAGCACGTCTGTAATTCGAGAGGTGCTCCACTGGCACCCCTGTGAGCAAGCAGCAGGGAGCAGGGCCGCAGGCTCCACAGGCCAGGCCACCCTCTGCTCCCACAGCTCTGTCCAGGGCCCGCCAGCAGAGCCAGTGGTTGTGGGACAACAGATAGCATCGAGAAAACCACACTTACTTTCTCTCTCCCTTGCAGTCCCCAGGCCCCCTCGAATCCTGCACCTGTCCCCTCTGGCCGCCACCGCCTGCTCCCAGACTCACAGCCAGCAGACCATGAAAACACAGAGCTTGTACCTTTTGATAAACTAGAAAATTCAACTCTCAAAGGGCAAAGAATAGATTAATTAAAACATGTGACAAACAAAACGCAACTTGTAAGCATAAGAACTTTCATGAGTACTAGAACCCTGGAACCACTACTCAGCTACAGGACAAGGTTACACCTGAGCAACTTCCAGTCGGAGAGGACACCTGTAGCCTCTCAGTGTTGGATTGCTCCCAGGAAAGGAGGCCCCTCGGACGGACGACATGACCCAGAGGCAGGAAGAAGGCTTCCTCTCCACCCCAGGGCCTCCACTCACCTACTGTGCTCTTCCTAGGAAAGGGACACATAGCACCTGAGTCTCACCCGAATTTCCAGAATTGCTCAAATTCGGCCAGAGCTTTGAAATCTTCACTTGCTGCTTAGCAAGACGGCGTGTTTTAACTTGTTGGCACAGGCGTGGGACGGGACGTGCTGCAGCCGACGCCGGCGCGGCCACAAGGCCTCCACCCGCTCAAGGCCAGGCTCCTAACATGTCTCTGCAATGAACGGCTTCCAGAACTCGCGTCCCGGCCACCTGGGAGCCACGCGAGCTCCCCCGACATCAGCCCTGACCCGAACCCTCCCCCGGGGCATGGGGAGAGGCAAGTAAATCACCTCTTTCAGGTGGATCGGTGGCAAATACACATTCACAATTTGAACACTTCATTAAAAATAATAAAAATATACATCAGAAATGGGGACTTACCGCCATCAGACACAGTTGCAGACTGAAAGAAAAGAGAGAGAGACATGAGTTAATTAAGCCTCATGACAAGTCAGGAACCAGCAGGTCCACAGTGTGAGCACGGTGACCGAGGACGTGTGGACACCTTGGTGAGCCGGTGAGCCGAGTGCCCGCTCCCACTTCCTGAGTGAACCCCGCCCAGGCCGGGCGGGCCAGGGCCACAGGGCTCTGCGCAAGTCATCACCACTCTCCTCTGAAGAGATCAAATCCCAGCACGCTTGACACCATGAAGGACACCTTGAAGAAAGTGGCTTAGGAACCCACATCAGTGTGGGCAGCATGGGGGGGGGGGCGGCCCCGCCCCCGTGCCCTACATTCAGTGGTGCCCCACTCAGTGCCCACACTGCGCTAGGCCACTCTATCACCTCCCTGAGTGGGACCCCCAACCCCCCCATCCCCATGTGTGGTGACAGGTGCTGCTGCCAGCACAGCAGGGGTCCGTCCTGCAGCCTGCCCACCAGGTGGGAGCCTGGAGAGTGTGGGATGGGAGCAGAGGAGGGCAGCTGGCTCCAAGGCTCCAGGGCAAGAGTGAACAAGTTGTGGAAGAGAACAGGCCAGTAGGAAGCAGGAGGCTGTGAGGGAGGCCCTGGAATGACAGCTGGCCAGAGTAACATAAGGCCCATCTGAGGAAGACTCCTTGCAGGCACTGCGCAGGCCAGTAGGGAAGTGGGGGGAGGGGAGGGGCAGCTGAGGAAAGAGCCCTCGAACAAGGGATGCAGGAGCCCACAGGGGACACCTTGCAATCTCACCGCACACACGTCCTGGTCACAGTAGAGGCTGGAGCCCCCAGCACAGCATGCAGGCCAGGCCCCCAAGGCACGGGTGCTGGGACACTGGCGATGGGCCTCCCCTGGCAGCCCGCTGGCCTTCACTATGCACAGGACCAAACCTCACAGCTACGCGCTCCTCAGTGGTCACCAAAGCTCCCCTTGGGCTCAGGCCTGGACTATGGAATCCCTGGTACTCTGGTGGGGAAAAAGACATGCACCCGTATCCTCTCTGCTGAGACAAGTGAGACCAGTGTGCGGGATATGAGGAAGGGCTTCTCACAGGCACAGCTGACAGCCCGTTCCTCCAGGCCTCCCTAAATCTCACCTCCCAGCCTACATGGAAGATGGGGGACCTCTCCCATTCTGAGCCCCTCACCTCTTGGGACTTGGATCTGAGCCAGCCCTGGGCCATCAGCCCTCACCAACCAAGGGTCTGGCCTTTATTACAGAAGCATGGGGTGGGCTCCATCCAAGGCTGACACGTACATTACGGTCAATCTCCTACAATCATGTTATAAATTCAGTAGTATCAGAGGCACGTTATTCCCTTGAGATTGATTATGAGAAGAAAATCCACAAGGAAGGCCACACACAAAATCAGAAATACTGTCAATAATATCTGAGAAATAAATCATAAAATGCAAACTTCATAAATATGAAGGCCATGGTCAACTTATGATCACAATGAAAACTATATTCTCAGACTTTAGCAGATGGAACAGATGCACTACAAAGCTCTACACCCATCCCCAGAACGAACCAAGACCCATGGTCCAGGACGGAGGTGGGAGCGAGAGTGGGGTGCAGTAGAGTGGCAGCAGGGGGAGCCGCATGGACGAGGCGAGCAGGACTCTGCCAGACTCTAGGCTGGGAGGCCTTAGGTGCAGTGCCAACAGATCCAGGTAAAGCTCAACAAACATGCTTTTTTAAAAAGTATACTTTAAGGGATCCCTGGGTGGCTCAGCAGTTTAGCGCCTGCATTCGGCCCTGGGCATGATCCTAGAGTCCCCGGATTGAGTCCCGCATCGGGCTCTCTACATGGAGCCTGCTTCTCCCTCTGCCTATGTCTCTGCCTCTCTCTCTGTCTCTCTCATGAATAAATAAATAAAATCTTAAAAAAAAAAGTAGACTTTTTTAGAACAGTTTTAGATTTATAGAAAAATTGTGAAGACAGGACAAAGACAAACATGCTTTTAATATATTGCTGCTCCCAAACCACCAAAGTTGCCGCTGGTGAGACCCAGAGGCTGGGCTGGGCATCGGGTGTAGGGCACAGCCCACACACCCTGGGAAACCTGGACAAAGATGCCCACTCCCTAATTCCTCTGGGAGAGAAGCAACCCAACTGAGGCCTGCAGGAGTTCCAAAAAGTGAGACCACCTAAGTAAGTGCTTACAATTCAAAAAGGCCCCTAAACCCGGGAAAAAAGCCCACCAGGAGAAACAGCCAGCAGAAACTACAACTAATAGAGCCTTGGGCACTGGAAAGTTCTGATACAGAATGCCACATGGCTCTGAAATCGTCCATAGAAGCTGTGATACGGAGGAGAGGTAGTAAAGTGGCAGCCGTGAAACACACCCTCCATGAGGCGTCTGACAACGAACCAACTTCAATAAGACACCCGGTAGAGGCTGGCAGAGGGAGGCTGCTGAAGAGAGAGTCTGGGAACTGGAAACCATCCCTGAAACAGTCACACTGGCAGCAGTTCGGAGACAAGGACGGCTGGGAGTGAGCTGAGGGTGGAGAGGTGCAAGGCCTGGATGCCAGGTGAACTCTTTCAGAAAGGAGAGCTGTCCTGCTGGTGCCAGAGCTCACAGCCCACAGGCCACCCCCGGGGACCCCTCACGCACACCCTCCAGGAGAGGCACTCCACAGTCCTCGGGCCTCCATTGTGCACCACGTTCCAGGAGCAACTCAACATCTCTGAGCCACAGCTTCAAATGTGCATTTCCTTCCCTTCCCCCAGCTTGGGAGGGTGTGTACAGAGAGCATTTCTCAAGCCTAAAATGCTAAGGAAAGTTCAGGGCACCTGGGTGGCTTAGTGAGTGAAGTGTCTGACTCTTAGTTTTGGCTCAGGTCATGATCTCAGGGTCCTGGGATCCAGCCCCACATTAGGCTCCCTGCTCAGCAGGGAGTCAGCTTTACCCTCTCCTTCCACCCGTCCTGCTGATGCTCTCTCACTCTCTCTCAAATAAATAAATGAAATCTTTAAAAATATATATACATATATCCTTAGATACAAAACCACTGTCCTCTTCCAAGTTCACATATTTTCAGAGAAATGGATGATGACTATACTATTCCTGACCAGATTATTTAATTTGCAAATAAATAATGTATAATCACCATTAACCTAACTCTTCTTTTTTTCTGTCCAATATTTATTTTACTTTACCAGCACACACCGGGGAGTGGCAGAGCCAGGCCATTACATCAGCCGATCCCTGCTCAGCACCCCAACTCCTTAGGGCCTGAGATGGATGTGGCAGCAGGTGAGGAGTACGGATCAGGGGGCTTCACTTCAGGAGGAGATAAGGCCTAGAGAGGTGAAGTGATCTGCCCACGGCGCTGGCAGGAAGGAGCCAGGGAGGTGCCTGTGGGGAGCACAGGGCACAACAGGCTTTACTGGTGGCCAGTGCTCAGTGCTGGGGGCAGGGTGGGGGGTAAAGGGGACAATGAGGAGGGGCGGGCAGACAACCTGCCAACAACAGGGAGGTGGAAAAGACAGAGAATCCCCAAATCGTTTCTATTTGCCTCAGGATCAATGACATGTCTGATTCTGACCCAAGTTACCCTTTCAAAGCCTGGTTTGCATTTTTTTTTTTTTTTTAGCACAGCCTGGCTGACGGGGTGGGGGTCGGGGGGTGTCCAAAATGGCAAAGCTTCAGAAACTCCCACAGATACCTCCCATAGAGCATCCCCACAGAGGGGCATCTGCTGCTCAGTGTTGCTTAAAATCAGGTATTTGCAATGTCTCAGCACACTGAGACCACTGGACCACCATAAACATTTTTATGAAGTAAAACTTAACATCCCCAATGTTTATTCTCAGACCTAGGACAATCTACATCAATAATTCATTTTCAAAGGGGGATCCCTGGGTGGCTCAGCAGTTTAGTGCCTGCCTTCAGTCCAGGGCGTGATCCTGGAGACCCGGGATTGAGTCCCACATCGGGCTCCCTGCATGGAGCCTGCTTCTCCCTCTGCCTGTGTCTCTGCCTCTCTCTGTCTCTCATGAATAAATAAAATTAAAAAAAAATTCGTTTTCATTAGTCTGTACTTGTGGGCTCTTCCACATTCCCACATCTACGTGTTACACTTAAGCAGAACCACAAAACAAGCTGCCAGTGAAGTTAGCATTTCTCTGCACTCACAATTTAAACATGTACCGTAAGGAAACAGCTCTAAAGTGTTCTATAACATGCCTGCTGGACTAAGATTTACACTAACATAAATGTATTTATTTGGAAGAAACTTACAGAGTATTTTAGATATGCAATTTAAGTCCAAACAATCTCCATTTCTTGGGTCAGCCTCTTAAACCTGACAATTCAGTGGAAATCAGATCTATTCCCAGCAGGAAATCTGGACCACACGTTCCATGGATATTTTATCTTGAATTAATGGAGTTTAAGATCACTAATATAAAGGGAACTATGTGACAAATCTAGCCTCTATCAAGGCTGATCCTGCTTGTAACTTTAGACAAGAGAAAAGTACTAAACTATACTGTTGTCAAATTACTTTGATATATAATAATATATAAAAATATCAATTTTCAATTTTGAGCCACTGACAAAATTTCCTATCTTGGAGATAAAAAGTACTAATCAGTCATATCTGAGTCCTAAATAAAAGACCAAAGGTTGCAAGTTGCCCAAATGCATCAAATATTCTGAATACAAAGAGAAGATAAATAACCCAAATGATGGAAAACCTTAAGAATTTAGCAATCCTTGGACACCTGGGTGACTCAGTGTTTGAGCATCTGCCTTTGGCTCAGATCATGATCCCGGGGTCTAGGATCGAATTCCTCATTGGGCTCCCTCTGAGGAGCCTGCCTCTCCCTCTGCCTGTGTCTCTGCCTCTCTCTGCGGGTTTCTCATGAATGGATAAATAAAATTAAAAAAAAAAAAAGAATTTAACAACCCTATTTGTATCTAATATATATTTATTTGACTTTTTAAAAACTCGATCATTGGAATGCCTGGGT